AGGATTCCTGAGCTGCTTTTTTTTTTTTTTTAGCCCTGGCGCAGCTGAAGCATGGCAGACCTGCCCCTGCACGTCACTGAGCCAGGTAAGGGGCCATCTACAACGAAGGTTTGCCCCCCAATCCCCAGCCAGGAGACCGATACTTGGGGGGGGAATCCCCAACCGCCGGACCTCTGAGGCGCAGCTGGTGGCAAGACCAGCCACCCCCTGCTCGGCACGGCTGCTCACTGCCCCACCTCACTTGGTGTATGGGCGCCCCAGGCGGTGTATGGGCGCCCCACTGGCCAACAGTTCGCACCCTTCCCCGCCTCCAGATAAGCGCTGATCGCACTAGGCCAGTGAAGCACGGACCAAATCATCGTGGCGTGGCCACTCTTCCCCCCCGCCCCACTTGCTGTATGGGTGCCCCGGGCAGCAAGCTCACTGGCCAAGAGTCTGCACCCTTCCCCACCTCCAGATAAGCACCGATTGCGCTCGGCCAGTGACACACGGACCAAATCATCGTCAAGAGTAAATCGCCCATTGAAATGACTGTTTTGCGAATCGCTATAGTGATCACAAAAAGTCATCGTTATGCGGATTCATCGTTTAGCGGGGTTGTCATCTAGCGCAGTGGTTCTTAACCTTGGGTTACTCAGGTGTTTTTGGACTGCAACTCACAGAAGCCATCACCACCAGCTGTGCTGGCTGGAGTTTCTGGGAGTTGCAGTTCAAAAACACCTGAGTAACCCAAGGTTAAGAACCACTGGTCTAGCGAGGCACCACTGTACTGGAATTCAGTGGAAGGGCAGAAAAACATGTTAGTATTTGGTCATACAAGTCCACACACACACACACAAAATCAGATTCCCTGCACGTGTGTGTACATGTCCATGTGAGACAGTGCACTTTATTCTGAACATGGATGTTCTAAATCACTGGTTCTTAACCTTGGGTTACTCAGGAGTTTTGGACTGCAACTCCCAGAAGCCTTCACCACCAAATGTGCTGGCTGGGGTTTCTGGGAGTTGCAGTTCAAAAACATCTGAGTAACAAAGGTTAAGAACCACTGTTCTAAATTGTTAATCAATTTGGAATATTTTAGGCTGGAGTGTTATGCTGGGAAAAGTATGGAGTGGCTATGCAAGGAACTAGTTTTGAAGTGGAAGAAGAACAGCCCAACATTCAGAATTCTTTGCACAGACCCAATATAGGCAATACTTTAAAAGAGAGAGAGAAAAAGACATACAAGCATGGCCCTCTCTCACTGTGAAGCAGAATGAGATGGGACCACTCCAGAGTTCATGGGGTGGGGGATCAAATATTTTAAAGCTCCCTATGCATGAAAAGCCACAGCAACTCACACACTACACATCTGGTGAGAGCCCTGCACTCAAATTTCACACTAATCGTCTAATTGTCTCTTTGCAAAATTAGTATGTTTTTATTAATTTTTCAGCTATTTTAGTCCCAGTCTTTAGTGGTTCAAAAACTTTTACAGTCCCCAAATCTGAAGCCACAATATTCTGGGCACCACTTACTTGAGGCCTCCTTCATCTCGCATGGGTTTAGTGCTGAAGTTAGTGTGGCAGCCAGCTCCATTCCAGTTCCCAGGAATCGGCTTGGGGTCAAAAGACACCACGACACCAAAGTCTTCACATACTCTATGAAGGATGAATCGAGAAATCCAGAGGTGGTCACCCATCTCAATACCTTCACAGGGGCCCACTTGGAATTCCCACTGCAAGAGAAAAAGAGAGAGTCAGAACCAGCATCGGGGGGGGGGAGGATGATTCCTCTGCACGAGGCTATTCACACCATCCTCTTCATGTCCTAAACATACAAATAACCCCAATGAAGAAGGACCTCTAGGGCAGGAAGACAAACTCAGAGATGGGATTTTGCCTTAAAGTATCTACCTGTGCTGGCATAACTTCTGCATTTGTACCACCAATATTCACACCAGCATACAGGCAAGCCCGATAGTGAGCTTCTACGATGTCTCGGCCATAAGCTTTGTCCGCTCCAACTCCACAAAAGTATGGGCCTGCAGAGAAACAAGAGAAGTCAGTGGCAGCCTTTCATCTTTAACTAGCATGCTCAGAAAATAGCTATATTGCCAAGCATGGTCTGGCAGATCTAGCAGGACCATGCCAACAGAGTCATCTCAGTCATTCACCTGGTTCAGATGTTTAAAGTAAGGCTGAGTTCACTTACTATGTTTTGTTTTACACATTCTTTCAAGCAATGGGGGGGGGGACTCTGCTTTTGTTCTTTTTTCAGTTCACCTCTGAAAAGGCTAGCCTATTCATTTATATTGTTTGCCCATGTTCTCACACTGGATTGGCTTAATTTATCCTTAGCAATATCATTAAGCAGCACTATCTGACTGACTTTCCAATGTCACACTTTTCAGTACCCACTGCTGATAGATGGATGCCAGCCAGATCCCTAACCCAAGAAGAAAAAGCAAGTAGCATCAGCTGCTGCCACTGAAATGGGAGTAGATCAAGAAGAAACCCCAAACAGGATTGCAGGAGGCAGAAGAATAGTTTTCTCAAGTGGGTTTCATGGAGAAATAATGGGACAATCACTGGGGAGTTTCTAATCTGAAATATGAGAACATTCATCATGGACTTAAGTATGGTTTTAAATATTTCTGATTAGAAGGTGCAGGAAGTGGGAGTTAGAGGACCCATGTAACTGAAGGTGCTTTAAGTACATTTGATCCATTTCATCTTTCAATCTTGCACTATCAATAGTCTTGGGCTTCAAAGTGTTGCCTCAGTTGTTCTTCCTGCAGTGCTCTCAATAAAATCTATTTTCTTGTCATGTTTCATTATTTTATATAATATCCATTTGAAATATCTGTACGTCACCCTATGCTCACTGTGATTCACAGGAGTATAACAAAATTATTTATTATTTTAACCACCCTGAGGAGGCTTTCTCCTGAAAGGAGCCACAAAAATTATGGAAAGAAAATCATGTTGCAAATTCTTTGGCAGTACAGTGGTGCCTCGCTTGACAAGGATAATTCGTTCCATTCAAATCACTGTTAAGCAAAATCCTCGTCAAGCAAAATTAAAAAATCCACTGAAATGCACTGAAAACGTTCCAATGGGTGAAATCTGAAAACGGTTCAATGCGTTCCAATGGGTGAAATAATCGTTAAGCGAGGCACCACTGTACGTCATTAGCATGGCATGGCCATATCAGCAGAATATGTAAATGTAGCTAGAGTAGCTACAAAAGTTATCGGAACCAGATCAGTTCTCAGTAACACAGGAGTAAGATCTTACTTTTGATCACTTTGGAGGAGCTTATTCTTTCCCTTTGAATACCTCCATACTTTAAGAAAAATATCAAACTTCTTTATGGGGAATTAAAGCAACAATCCATCTACCCCAGCACTGTCCATCTTCTCTATCTAAGACAATGGTTCCCAACCCAGATGTTCCCAGATGTTCATGGACTAAAATTCCTAGAAGCCATCACCCCTAACTGTGCTGACTAGGACTTCTAGTCTAAGAACACCTGGGGACACCGGGTTGGGAAGCACTGATCTAGGGCATAAAATTCTTATTAATATTGATAGCCTGGGGTTACATTCTTGATTTGTGTATACAGAGAACATTGGATGATCAGCCCATGCTCCATAATAGCAGTTTGCCATTTGTAAGTTATGCATTCAAGACACTAAGTGGATTTTCCTACTGGAATCTTACCTTGTGGTCCAGGAAAGCCATTGGAAGGCCAGCCAAAAGGATGTCCATCTGTACCTAGAAGGGTGTATTCTTGCTCCATCCCAAACCAGGGGTTCAGGTTAGACCCCATGTCCATAATCCTTTTACATGTATGCCTCAGATTTGTTTCTGAGAGAGAGGAAGAGTAGGGCAAAATTACTACTCATACAGCAGCATTGGTCTACCCCAGGAATGGGGAAACTTTGGCTGTCCAGGGGTTTGATCTACAACTCCAATTAGCTCTGAAGAGTACCATCAATGTTAGATTACGGAAGCTATAGCTGAAAAATATCTAGACAGTCAAAGTTTCCCCAGTCCTTACCTTTATGGTACATGCCCTTGTCTAAAGCATATAAATCACTAGCAAGGATAACAAAAAACAAATGTGAGCAAATGCAATTGCCTACATATTGAGACTTTGCTGCAATCAGAGTCAAAGAACAGGGGTTAAGCAAGGGTTTTATAGCAGAGACCAGATTTTTATTGACTGTGACACCAGCACATTAGGAGAACAGTTTCTAAAACTCAGCATGCCCATAAGTTCTTCTTAAGCTACCCTTTCTCACAGGAAGATGGGTCACTATCCTCATTTTACATGTCAGGGGAGAAAGGAGGCTAGGTGATTTTCTACTGAACACTACTTTAAAAAAACCTTGTAGCTTTACTGGGATTTGAATGTTGAAGCCAAACCACCTTGAACATCCACAAAACAAACAGCAACATAGTTGCTGTCCACCAGAAACATCACCTTGGCAACAGCATTATCACCATGGCTACTACAATATCATGGCTTTCAGATGCTAACGAAACCTGCATTTCTTCAGAAAGCAGGGGTTAACAGTTAAAAAGGAAGAGTAATGTTCAATATAATGCATGGGAGAAGCACAAGTAAAGCTATGCATGTGATCACCAGATCAGCTGATGAGAGATCAGCTCACGTGGCTTAAAGAATAAAAGTCTTGTGGGCTGCTGGTGGCATGAGTTGAAAGGGTTTACTGTCTCTGCCAACAACAAGTCCTGCTTGTGAACTTCCAGAGGCATTTGGCTGGCTGCTGCAAGAAATAAAATGTTGAACAGGATGCTCTCTTCCTTTGATACAGCACAGAAATTTCTTACAATCTTATTTTGTCTCATGCGACAATTACCTCTTGAGAAAAAAAAAGGCAATTATCACAACCATGCGAAGCAAATCAGAAATCTGTATAAATGTTCCTGGATGTGCATTGCCACACACAGAAAGCATCTACATGACTCAGGTAGTGACACAATGCCAAATCTCTTCCTTTCCAAAGTCTTCTCAAAACTTCAAAACTGGTAACTAAAGATAACCACTTAATCAGGTGGTGGCATGGTATGGCATGCATAAGATTACTTGGTAAGTCATAACAGTAGACTATCTGTCAAATGTCAGGGAAGAATTTTATTTAGGGATGAGCTGAAATGCACATTACTTCACTGTCCTAAGTGTGGTAACAAAAAAAGAGCAAAGGGCTGGAACACACCTGCTGGCTTGCGGTTGTACTTTAAGACCTCACAGAGCACCAGTTTGTTGGGGTCCTTGCGGAAAGGATCCCGGAACATGGCAGATGGCACAAGGTACATGTCACTGTTGGAGCCTTCAGACTGGAAGGTACTGGAGCCGTCAAAATTCCACTCTGGTAGATCTGGAAACAGAAGAAGAGGAATGAACACGACTGCTTCCAAAAACTCTAGCCGTGTAATCACTGTGGACGGACTTATTTGGGGTCTCTATTTAACAATAGGGCTTCCAGTGGGAAAGTTAAAGAGACTAAAAAGTTGCATACGGAAGAAATATTCTTTTGAAGTTGTTGTAAAGTCATCCATGAAGAATATCTGTCAGTCTTTCTTTTGACTGGAATGTTCATTAAAATTCAGTCAGAGAAGTTTCAGTAATTTTGAACAAAATAACACCATAGCACAATCCCAAATATGTCTACTCAGAAGTAAGCTCCACTGTCTTAAATGAGGCTTACTCCCATGAACACAGGTATAGGACTGCAACCCCAGTGGACTTCCCGTCTTACAGTACAAATGTTTCGAGTTCTGTTAAAGGCCCAAAGGACTTTCATCATCCTTGTCACAAATGAAACAGAACAAAAAAACTCAAGACCCACCATCCAAAATTTTGTCACTGATGGATAGGCCATGCATGCATCTCAGATGCCTCAGGAATGAGTTGCTGGTACAATGTTTATTTGTTGTTCTTTTATTTCACAGTCTACAGACTGCTGTGTTTCTGCACCAACAGTATGTTAAGATATAGACAATCTGGACAGGAGCATCTGCTCTGAAGCACATAACCAGATTGCAAAGAACCTCATTTTTCCTAATGTAAACAGTGTTTTCAAAGAAGTGTAGAAAACCTACCTACAATTTTTTAAAACAATTGTGAATTATCTGGAGTGAAGCTTCTGCCCCTTGTTTAATGGCCCTTGCCATGCTTCTTTCCTTTCCCACTTTTAGAAATATTTTGCCTCATTATTCCTTACTAAAAAGTTAAGTTCCCGAAAAAAAACTTTGAGCATTTAATAAAAGAAAAGAAAAGAAAAACCAAATGTCTGCATTGCTGCCAAATTGCATAACACTTGTTTCAAAACATCTATTATAGTGCAGAATTTAGGTGCACTCAGGTATTTCAGCACCTAGCATAGTCAGGGGGAGAGACTTAGCAAAAGTAGAAGCATATTTGAATTGGCATTAAAGTAGTTAATCCCTCCAGCCAGCTTGATCCATTTCATCCCCAAGAGGTGGTGAAATTATTTAACTAAGCAGTGCCAGCCACTTCCTCAGAATAAAAACAAAGCACTCAAGACTAAATTCTTCTAATTAGCCATCCATGCTATATTGGTTTCATAATCATCTCTGGCCAGCTCCATGGCAACCAGGGAAGAAATCCTAATGCTATTTATTATGTTGGGTTTCTTCTTCTTCTTTTTTCTGGAGGGACAAACAAAAGCCAAACTTATTGTATACACTGGAGTACTAGTGGCAATTTTAATACCCTCTCCCATCAAGAATGTTACAATACTATGTGAAGATAAAGACATTTCCCCTCATGTACAAGTTACAATACTATGTGAAGATAAAGACATTTACAATGAGAAATTGTTGTTTAATTATATTGATGGGTGGAGTGGGAAGATTTTTCCACTTCAGAACCAAAATGACTTGCCTGGCCTTAGCTAATATATAGCTTGAGAGACACATAACTGCCTGGAACATGTGCTGCTCCATTTCAGGCAGCAAAATAACTTGGCAGGCCCTGGAGAGAAAAAGATCTGAGGAGTAGAAATATTACATCTGCAGCCTTCAATGAACTTAGAAAGTAGAGGAACATGACGGAGGCAGGCAGGAACCCCAAGACAAGGTGGCTGAATTTAAAAGGACAGAGCAGGCAGGAGAGTGATGGAGGTCGGCCTGAGAGAAGGACAAACAGAAGAGAGGAAAAGCAAAAGGTTAGGGACTGCAAGGCAAAGTAGCAGCAGAGGCTTCCTGGCCCTTTAAAAATTGCAGAGAAGGAAAGCGGAAACCTGACAGCTGTTGCTTTTGTCATTAAAGCACTGTCACTCAATAATATGAATACTGAAGTCAAGGAGGCAGGAGAGGGTGGGCCATCTGACACACTAACAACTCCTTTCCATCTATCAGGCTTCTAGCCTCTCCCTCTCAACATATAAATAGTGCATATGACCTTTTCTGAAACAATTTCAACCAAAAATGGGTTTCAGGTGGGTATAGATATTTTTTTAAAAATGAAATCAACACGTCAAAACTGACAGAAAACAGTAAACAATACAGTAACATTGGCAGAACAAAACTAGCAAACTATCTGGAAGTACCAGAATTTGAGTTGCCCACGGCAATAAAAAGCTTTAATCTGGTCATGACAGAAGTACAGCATTGGCTGTAGACCTTATTTCACCTATATATGTGCAGTTATGCAACTAGAAAACCTAATTTCTCCAGATTTTTCATTTATCTTTCCCTTTGGGAAAAAAGTGTGCATTTTGAATGGACACCAATTCATTCCTGTTTCTAAAGTAAATCTCTACAACTACTATACTTTAAATGTGGGGAACAAGGGAGGAAGTGAATAAACAAGGAGTAACAAGGAATAAACACGGAAACTGATTTAAGAAACCCCACTCCTTAGCTGCTGGCAGTCACACGCTACCTCCTTCTGGTTTGTCAGCTCTTAGTCAGCAGAGAAGTAGAACTTTAAATTCTTATTTCCAATGACAACAAAAGAGGTTGTCGTCATCTTCATTTTTTAAAATAAAGCAAGTTGCAACTTTGTTTGAAATTTCTATATACTTGTTAAGTTATTATATACTTAGGTAAGCAAAAGACCATAGTGCAACAGCCTTGTGATTTACATTTCTACAGTGGATGATACGCAAAGGGCTAGAAAGATAAGAAACAAGAAGAATGTGAGCAGGTACATTTTAACTAGGGATAAGGCGTAGGAGGAAGAAATGAAAAATTTTGCAGAAAAAGTAGAATCCGAGAAGAGACCACATCAAGCAGATACTCTGGGAAAGGAACAGGCAAGAAGAAAGGGAGCCATTTACAAAAGGAAAGGCCTAGCTACCCGGACTCAGAAGTATATTCCCAATTAATGGATATTAAAATCACAGTGCTGGGCTGCATTCCTATACACACTTACAACTCCTCTCAAATGCACTGGGCTTCTTTCTATGCAGACATACTACATAGGCACTGCATACCTGTCTCAAGCCTATATAGCTATGTAAGTCCCATGGGCCCCTTTTTAATTAGTGAGGTTAAAATAAGTTAGAGTATTCTTTTAAGCCATTGTTGCTCAAATGTGTTGCCATACAAAAGAACTGAAAGGGAAAATACCAGAGTTAGCCCTTCCTCAGCTATGCAAAAAGCCATCTTCTTCAACCCCCATGTTTAATTCACCTAAAACATGGCATGGAAAAGAACTCACAGACAATTCATTAGGGTACATAGCTTTTCCTTTTTCCTAGTGCACAATGAACTCCTATATATATTTATTCAGAAGCCAGTCTTGCTTTGTTCTGTAGAACCCACTCTCATTTAAGGGCGAACAGATTTGCAGCTTAAGTCTGAAAAAGTGAGGCCCTCATAGGAACTGCTCAAGGAAATATTTATGGACATGAGCTAATTAAAATAACTATTTTTCATTGTCCCCAGAATGTTTAGTAGAGGTGCTTTATTCATCAAACCAGCAAAGGAAAAGAATCACTAGATGGGTTGGTGGTGTCATTTACAAAGTGTAAATGATACCACAGCCAGAAAGAAGACCTTGCATACATCACTAGTAGACCAGATACAATACTTGCAATTCTTCACTCACAGATAAAGAACTTCCCAAGACAGAGTTATTCTAAAAACTTTCTGCTTACCTTCAAGATTCTTGGGCTCATGGTCCAGTGTCCGGGTTTTACAGCGCAGGAATTCACCAGTCCCATCAATCCAGATGTACATGGCTTGTACCTTGTCACCCTGAGGCAGCTTCATGTACATGTGCTTTATCGCTTTGCTCAAGTGCGAGCTTGCAGAGGTGGCCATGGCTGAAGAAACTGTTACTGAAGACCTGTGAAGTGATGCACAAGGGAGAGAAGGGAGGGAAGGAATGTCCATGAAAATGACCGAAAGGGATTCTTGCCAGCCACCAAATGGGAACACTTTCATAGTGACCTATGTTTTCTTGCAACATGGATAGATGATCTTGCCCTAGTTCGCCAGAAAACTTTTCACACCTGATTAGAGCCCATGAGCTAAGTCCACACCTGCTCCAAATCATCATACATCTCCTAAAAGCCATGGAAAGCTGCCAATGATTTCTAGAAACTGAAAATCAGATTCTGAATAAATAGGTTGGATATGAAGCAGGCAATGCTTGGAGTTACCATCCTTAAGCTTGGGGACTTTACCTTAGGCACCTTTATATGCAATACAGTCGTGAAACCTTCAAAGACTGAGACACTAAAGTTACAAACCAAGATGACTGCCTGAAGAACATGGTTATGTTGGCTAAGGTACTGTACATGAAGATGAGACGCACAGTTGGTATGTGAGAGATGATGCTGTTAAGGATGGAGACACTAATTGGATTCCAACATTCCAACACCTAACTCAGGTATAGGTACACAAAGTCCAGTCTTTATTCGGCTCTTCCAGTATCAAAACCATTACAGATCATACATTTAAGAAGTTTGTGATAAAGGAGCAGGGATAGATCAATGCCCATTTCTAAATCCATCATGGCCAACTGTGAGTTTCAATTCAATACCTGAAGTTGTGAATTTAATTTTAATCCTTATCTCTCTGTTCATTTGCTTCAGTCATTGTATGTTGCTAGCTTTTGCATCTGACATTTTCTCCCTATTTATCTAGGGAAACACATAGGTTGTTCTGAAGTTGTACTAGGGGAGCTTCCATTTGCTGCACTGTACATATTTTTGTTATTAAACTGAAGGTAACTATTATTATTATAGGAACCCACTCAGGCTACAAGCAACATATGCACAGTCAAAAGAATCCCCATGGAGCAGCTGGAGAAATATGTATTAAATACATTGTCTACTTTCTTTCTGGAGTACTGTCTGAATTAATTTTGGGGAACCCTTAAAACTAGTATAACAAATGAGAAACATTTGCTTTAAAAAATATAAAAAGCAAACCGCCTCATGTTCCCAAAACCAACCTAAACAGGATGGATAGCATTCACCTGGCTCCTAAAACAGCCATTCCCTGCTCAACAGCACATTTGAAGGGGACCACAGGCTAGGTTTGTTATGCAACTTATACAATTCTTACAAGGTTTGTTATGCAACTTATACAATTCTGATTTGGCTTACATTTCTTTTATATTCTGTTTTCGGCCACGGGAAAAAAAAAGGATGAGAATGGCTATCCTAAAAGGAGAGGAAGGGATTGAAAAGGGGTAATTCTACTGGAAAGAGTTACAGTATATAGGCTAGCTGTTACAAAAAAAAAAAAAAGGCTGAGAATGGCTGTCCTAAAAGGAGAGGAAGGGACTGAAAAGGGCTAATTCTACTGGAAAGAGTGTTATGCAACTTATACAATTCTGATTTGGCTTACATTTCTTTTATATTCTGTTTTCGGCCACGGGAAAAAAAAAGGATGAGAATGGCTATCCTAAAAGGAGAGGAAGGGATTGAAAAGGGGTAATTCTACTGGAAAGAGTTACAGTATATAGGCTAGCTGTTACAACATGAGGAGGCCACTGCCTCTCTCTCTCTATCGACCTAACATCCACTGGGGCTCCCCCATTTTCTTTCCTCTTAGTAATAAAATCTATTACCTAGCAGTCCAGCCCATTTCCAAACCAGGTTGGGTTGAGGCTATGCATACTGGGATAGGTTTCATTCTTAAGGGTTGAGGTCATCACCTTAATGTCCCACATCCAAACAGGAGACCATCTGAATGTCTCCCATAAACTGCCAATCCATGTGAGGCAGGAAGGGGGAGGAGGATGGCCTTGTAGGCCCCTTCGAACTTCACTTTTCTATGATTCTATGAATAAGGCATAGTACTTGGACACAGTTTATAACGTGGATGAAATGCATGTGTCCTTCACCACCACTTGCCAGTGGATGACCTGGCTCTAACTGATAAGGACTTCAAGTTCCTCTCTCCCCAAATGCCTGGTAATATACACAAACCCTTTGCTATCATAGCGACAATTATTTTTCTACTATATAGTAATCAGCATACCATATTATGTCTGGAAAACTACAAATAAATGTGCAACAAATTTTAGTACTAAAAAATATGCTAGACTAGCCTCAATTATCTCTTTAATTTTTCAAAATTATTGGAAAGCATAATTTCCACAACACAAACTCTTATAGGCAAATGGAGAAAGCTGATGCACAAAAAAATGCACACGGTATTTGCAATGCAAAGTAAGTAGTGGTTGCAGTCATTTGCCCTCATGTATTTCACATCAGCATCACAGAGCATGTAAGCTCCAGACCCAATTCTTCCTGTGCCTGCAGTTCCCGGAGGCAGAGTTCAAATTATTCAATTCAGTTGCATGTTAAAATCAAATTCAATTCTGCACCATGTTATTGTTAACCGCTGTTATACTATTTTTAGCATCTAAGAACCCTGTCCAAGAATGTGTTGTTGCCCTACTTGTAACTTGATATACTTCAGTCACATACGGTATTGATACCTATTGTGTAAAGAAGCAGATTTCAAGGAGGGCCAAAGTACATTGTGAAACCTATTCACAGTCAAATTTGACTATTTCCCACTGCACCAAGTTTACACTGAAAGGACAGCCTTTATGACTTCTACTCATGATCATAAGCCATGGCAATATTTTGTCATGTAGAATTGTCCAATACTCTGTAATGAAGGGGAACTTAATTCTCCCCCCATCAAGAAAACTGTAAGCAGTCAAAGAGAATGACCAAAAGAATGAGATAATTCAGGTTACAAGCATATTGCAGAGGATCCTGGCCTCTTTTTATGAAGAAACCAGGGTTAAAAAACAGCTCAGGCAGAACTTCTATTAAAGTTCTCTGTAATCTAGATACAGTATTACTCTTTGAACCTTTTTTGTAGCTAAAAAATGATCATGAAATATGATCTTGTAAACACAGAAAATCAATTTTCCAAATTATGCATCTCAGTAGCTAAGAAGTGCATTAAGCATGGCAAAATTTGGTAACATTTTGAATGTATCCGTGAACTCTGAGTAACTCTGTATTTTGACTCAGTAAAAGAAGTTGTGGCCTTTAGTTTGCAAGACCTGAGCAAGGCTGTTAATACGATGCCTTCGAGGTCACTGATTTGTAAGGTTGCTATAAACTGGACTTGACAATACATAACAACAATCTTGTACTCTCTTTTCATTGAATCTCCCTCCAATCCCTCCCTCATAAATCAAGAACAAAAAGTTGTATAGGAATATAAAGAACACATTAGTTAAATCATAAACTTCTATGGATGAAGCAACTGCTCATCACAGTCGTATTAAAAACACACAAATTATATCAAAAATGTTATAAATCAAGAACAAAAAGTTGTATAGGAACATAAAGAACACATTTGTTAAATCATAAACTTCTATGAATGAAGCAATTGCTCATCACAGTCGTATTAAACACACAATTATATCAAAGACTTGAACAGGTACACCTAAAAACATAAAGATATGAATAAAACAAGCACATTTCATTATGAAAACATGTTTAACTGGGAGCTGAGCTAACTGTGGCTCCCTTGTCCACAATTTAATACAGGGCTTATGCGACCAAGATTGCTATTGTAGTTTTGCCTTTGGTACAAGTGAAACCATACAACCTGCTGAGCTGTAATGAATTCCCTGTGAGGCAAAAAAAGATTCTGTGCCTCTGGCACACCTGCATGCTCTTCTATGAACAACAGTCAGTAAGAAGGCCACCATTACATTAAAGAAACCTGGTGCCCACAGTGTAATGGTCACATTCACAAAAGGAGACCTCTGCTTAATACTGTCACTTAACACTTAATACTGTCATGTCACTCTATCAGACAACAAAAACAGCATTCAGCTTTATTCCCAAGTATCAGAATCGTCCTTTTTATTTACTTTGTACCACACACTCTATTAATAAGTGCCAAGAATTACCTATGAAAATGCTAGTCACCAGATTAAGGTGGCAATTTCTTTCACTGGCCTTACCAGTAATATTTACAAGAGCTTGGATTAACCCCTCAATCCTACTTTCTTTTTCACCAACTCCATGCTGATTTTCAAGTTTATTGTCTAGTTCAGTTGCTCCCTCCTTCAGAAAGCAGTGCATTCCCAGATTAACACAGCAATCAAAGTTGATCTGTTGATGCATCTCTGTGCCCTTTCCCTATCTTGGCTGCTTCCAAGCAGATTCGCCATGAACTGAGGTATCTGGACTTTCAGAAATATTTCTTTACCTTAAGGCCACGCACAGAAGTCAGGGGAACAAAACTGGGTTTGCAAAACTATGGCTCCAACTCTCACTCAGCGCAGTGTATAATCACAGTTTCCTCGTGATACAATCTTATGGCCACGCTTAGGTGTGCACCCTTAAAGGAGCTTAAAAACAGAAAGTGCAAGCTTTTACTGTTGCATGATATCTAACACAAAGATTATCCTACTACTGTATTGCTTTTCAGGATTTTGCCTGAAAAGTTTGCACAGCTACCTCTTCTAAATTTATTTCCAGTGTTCTGTTTCGGTAGAATGGCTCAACTACCTGCACTTTTAAAATTTTGTGTGTCGAGAATTCCATGCACATGGGTCGAAGCACTCCCATTGTTTTCTTGCTGTTCGACCCTGCGCCCAAATCAAACTCTAAAAAGACCAGATGAGCTTCTATATACATCCCCTCTCCAGCCAGCAATTTTGCTTTCTCCCTGACTCCAGTTCTAAGAGAAGGAAGGGAGTGTGCTCTCCTTCTCTGATCAATGAAATGTGATCCTTACTCGCTCCTCACTGGGTTACAGATCCCTCTTCAACATCATTGGTAGGAGGACCTGTCCATCAAGCTCCCAAAGCATCCTTCTGCACACCCTCGTTTTTAAAGATCCTGCTGCTTT